GACAACTATGATTTGGAATGTATCCATTCCTATCTACCTCTTTAAAGTATGTTTTGGTACAAAAAGTATTACCCTGTTTGTAAATAGTTAGGTCCAAGAAATTTATAGCCGTTGAGCTGATATTATTTGTGACCAAAATATTTAAAGGATTACAACCCATTTTCCGGATGTAGTCCTCCAATCCTTCTTTTGTCCCCTTCCATAAAATAGTGATGTCATCTATAAATCTCCTGTATAGTAACAGTTCTGAACTTCTATTCTCAAAAATGGCTTTACTTTCCCAACTACTCATGAACAGATTTGCCACCGGTGGTGCATATTTGGCTCCCATGGCTACCCCCATTGCTTGCCTATAAAACTTATTAGCATGCCAGAAAAAATTGTGTGACATAGCTAAGTCCAAACTTTTAAGTAGAAAATCCCTTTGGTTAGGTCTCAACCCTTATTTAGTATCTAGTGCCCATTCCACTGACCCTAAGGCATCCACATGTCTTATGTTCGTGTAAAGTGAATTTACATCAACACTGGCCATAACACAATCCCCATCTTCCCTAATTTCTTTTAATATGTTAATTAAATCCACACTATCCCTTAAATAAGCTGGAAAAACAGGGACCAGGAGCTGTAGGAACTTATCAACATATTCCCCCAACCTAGAAAACAGGGAATCAATCCCATTAATAATGGGTCTTCTGGGGGTTTATCCAGATTTTTATGAATCTTTGGTAATTAATATATGACAGGCACTACCGGGGCATTAGGTACCAAATATTGTACCTCCTTCTTCTTCAAAAAAACCTTCTTTCTCCTCATTTAATGAGTTTCACTAGCTTAGTTCTATACTTTTTTTACTTTTTTTGTGGGATTCCCCTTCAACACTTCATAAGTGTTGACATCATAAACTAATCTATTTAGTTCTGTATAATAATCACTCTTATTTAATACCACAACCCCCCCTTTATCAGCTGCACACAATATTTACCCTTTCCCTGTACACAATGCCCCCTCCTGTACATATTACCCCCTCCCTGTACACAGTGCCTCCTCCTATACGTATTCCCCGCTCCCTGTACACAATGCCCCCTCCTGTACATATTACCCCTCTCCCTGTACACATTACCCCTCTCCCTCTACACAATGCCCCCTCCTGTACATATTACCCCTCTCCTCCCTGTACACAATGCCCCCCTCCTGTACATACTACCCCTCTCCCTGTACACAATGTCTCCTCCTGTACATATTACCCCTCTCCCTGTACACAGTGCCCCCTCTTGTACATATTACCCCATCCCTGTACACAATGCCTCCCTCCTTGTACACAACGCCCCCCTCCCTATACATATATTACCCCCCCCAGTACATATACTTCTCTTCTCTCCCTATACATATTACCCCCCTGTACATATTACTCCTCTCCCTGTACATATTACCCCCTCCCTGTACACAATGCCCCCTCTCTATACAGTGGACATAAAATGGCTTCACACCCTTGTTAAAATGTCAGGTTTCTGTGATGTAAAGAAATGAGACAAAGATAAATCATTTCAGAACTTTTTCCACCTTTTAATGTGACCTATAAACTGTACAACTCAATTGAAAAACAAACTTAAATCTTTTAGGGGGGGGGAGTAAACATAAAAAAACTTAAAATAATGTGGTTGCATAAGTGTGTACACCCTCTTATAACTGGGGATGTAGCTGTGTTCAGAATTAAGCAATCACATTCAAAATCATGTTAAATAGGAGTCAGTACACACCTGCCATCATTTAAAGTGCCTCTGATTAACACCAAATAAATTTAATTTGTTCTAGTAGGTCATTCTTGACATTTTCTTAGTCACATCCTATAGCAAAAGCTATGGTCCTTAGAGAGATTCCAAAGCATCAGTGGGATCTCACTGTTAAAAGGTCTCAGTCAGGAGAAGGGTACAAAAGAATTTCCAAGGCATTAGATATACCATGGAAACAGTGAAGAGAGTCATATCTACTGTACATATTAGCCCCCTCTTTTTCATATTACCCCTTCCCTGTACACAAAGCCCCCTCCTATACATATTACACCCATCCTGTACACAATGCCTGTACACAATGCCTCCTCCTGTACTTTTTACCTCTCTCCCCCTCTCTCCCCCTACACATTGCCTTGTTGCACTTGCACACTGTCCCCATAAATATGAGCCATCAGTTGCTGAGATGTTGCACTAGTTTACTGCTCAGCTTAGCAAGGGTTAAAGCTGATGCTGTCTTGCTCAGGTGCACAGTGGAGATCTCTGCATTCCAAAAAGAAGCTCTGCGTCAGACTCCCATTCCTAAGATCTTGGACTAGTCTGCCGCCCTGTCCAGCTCCCCTGTGTACACAGCACAGATGAGAGAGCAGTAGCAATGCTACCTAGTCCCACAAGAAGCCCTGATTAGCTACAGAGTAGTAGAAAGTGCTGACTGGAGCCTTCCCAAGTCTCTGATGCTTGCTTAACTGGGGCAGTCACAGCGGAAGGTATCTGACTTCTGGTACACAGCTGCTGCAGGTTCAGTGCAGAATCACTGTACTGGACCTGCAGTGGCTGCCTAGGGCATGGGCAGGGTCGCAAATGCAACCCCTGATGCTTCGCCAATGTGTATCAGTACTGCTTGAACCAAGAAGAAGGAGTTAGCAGACTCCCACATACTTAACCTGAAAATGTAACTGCAAATTAAAAAAGCATCAGGAATGGTATTCAACTGTCTCTGTGAAGGTGCACAAATAAGGCTAAAATCACCCTAAATGTATTTCCAGTGTATATGCTGTATAAAGGGAAGCACATAGTGCGGGTTTCTCAAATGACTGCAAAGGTAAAAATATACACTTTAACATTTATTATATCGTTATTACAGTACTTTTTGAGCTAGCGCAATCAATTTACGCAGCACTTTACATATACATTGCTCATAAAAATTAAAGGAACACTGTTTAATGAGATTATAGCATCAAGTCAATAAAATATTGATATTGATCTGGTCAGTTAAGTAGCAGAGGGGGTTGTTAATCAGTTTCAGCTGTTTTGATGTTAATGAAATTAACAACAGATGCACTAGATGGGCAACAATGAGACGACCCCCAGAACAGGAGTGGTTTTACAGGTGGAGGCCACTGACATTTTTTCCGTACTCATCTTATCTGACTGTTTTTCACTAGTTTTTCATTTGGCTAGGGTCAGTGTCACTACTGGTAGCATGAGGCAATCCCTGGACCCTACAGAGGTTGCACAGGCAGTCCAACTCCTCCAGGATGGTTCATTATTACGTGCCATTGCCAGAAGGTTTGCTGTGTCTCCCAGGACAGTCTCAAGAACATGGAGGAGATTCCAGGAGACAGGCAGTTACACTAGGAGAGCTGGACAGGGCTGTAGAAAGTCCCTATTCCGTCAGCAGGACCGGTACCCTTTGTGCAAGGAGGAATAGGATGAACACTGCCAGAGCCCTACAAAATGACCTCCAGCAGGCCCCTGGTGTGAATATCTCTGACCAAGCAATCAGAAACAGACTTCATGAGGGTGGCCTGAGGGCACGATGTCCTCTGGTGGGCCCTGTGTTCACTACCCGGCACTATAGAGCTTGATTGGCATTTGTTATTGAACACAGAATTGGCAGGTCTGCCACTGGTGCCCTGTGCTTTTCACAGTTGAGATCACATGTGGCGGACATGAAAGGGTCTGGAGAAGCCGTGGAGAATGTTATACTGCCTGTAAAATTGTTCAGCATGACCGTTTTGGTGGTGGGTCAGTGATGGTCTAGAGAGGCATATCCATGGAGGGACACACAGACCTCTACAGGCTATACAATGGCACCCTGACTGCCATTATGTATCAGGATGAAATCCTTGGACCCATTGTCAGACCCTACTCTGGTACAGTGGGTCCTGGGTTCCTCCTGGTGCATGACAATGCCCGGGCTCATGTGGCGAGAGTATGCAGGCAGTTCCTGGAGGATGAAGCAGTTGATACTGTTGAATGGCCCCCATGCTCACCTGACCTAAATCCAATAGAACACCTCTGGGATATTATGTTTTGGTCCATCCAACACCACCAGGTTGCACCTCAGACTGTTGAGGAGCTCAGTGATGCCCTGGTCCAGATCTGGGAAGAAATACCCCAGGATACCATCCGTCGTCTCATCAGGAGCATGCCCCGACATTGCCAGGCATGCATACAAGCACGTGGCGGTCATACAAACTACTGAGTACCATTTTGAGTTGCTGCAATGAAATTTCAGCAAAATGGACTAGCCTGCTGCATCATTTTTTTACTTTTCGGGGTGTCTTTGAATTCAGTCCTCAGTAAGTTGATAATTTTCCTTTCCATCAAACGATGGGGCATCCTTACGTTCCTAACCATTACCTAGTCCATATCAGTATAGATATCCAGCATGAGATTTTTCCCCATTGAGATCTGATGTGTTTTCAAAGTGTTCTTTCAATTTTTTTTTAGCAGTGTATATTATGCATTCACAAAATGTCCTCAAGCAGCTTACAATCTAAGGTCCCTAAAAGCTAAGGTCCTTAACCATTCACATACTAGAGCCAATTTAAACAGGAGCCAGCAAGAAAACCCTAACTATAACTAATTTTTAAAATGTCCCCCACCCCCTCACCTATAATTACAAACCCAAATAAAAAGATTTTTTTACTTACCAGTTTTTAATCATATGATCCTGCAGGTCTGGCTCTCTTGTGTCAGTGAGCAGCTACTGCAGGGCAGATGAGGGAGCACCAACAATGGCTGGGCCATGGGAGCTTATAGGAAATGTTGTAGCTCACAGATTTCACAGCCATTGTCGAGTGCTTCCCAAGCCAGACCTGCAGAATTGTGTGACCAGACCAGAGTGGATTGATAATGGATAAGTACACAGGGTAGGCAGGATAGGTAGGAGAGGGGAAGGAACATTTTTAGGAATAGTTATAGTTAGGGTTTTCTCCCACGTAAAGTATGTCATTTTTTTTCTTACTTGTCCTTTTCTTTTTCCAGCATTACCTGACAGCACTGGGGGGTATTATCGCCATCCCCCTAATCTTGTCCAAAGACCTGTGCTTGACCCATGACCCTCTGACCCAGAGTAACTTGATCAGCACCATCTTCTTTGTCTCGGGGATTTGCACCCTCCTGCAGGTTCTGTTTGGGGTCAGGTAATGTGACAATCAGAGGAAGTTTATCTAATGTATTGTTCTTTGAGAATGCTGATCAAATATTTTCTAGTAATGTGTGTTAGGATAATCTGGGTATCATCAGGTAGAAAATACTTTTTCCCAAGTTTAACTACCTAAAGTGATAAGTTGGGGAGCTTGTCCCAATTTCAGGCCAATTTTTTTTTTGCGCTCTCAGCACATATGTATTTTTTAATTGCACACAAATATGCGTCTGCTCGGCGTCAAGGTCCAGACGCCGAGAGGCCGCATATTTGTATGCGATCGGCGTCAAGGGGTTAAGGAACCCTATAAATAGATGATGTGGTGCTTGCTCTGGCTGCCCTGAAATGCACATATGCCAAGGCAGGTGGGCAGGGCCCACCTCCCACACAGATGTCTTCATATAAACTTATGTTGGGTTGCTGCCCTGTGCTACTTTGTCTGGACAGCATGGTCTGTTAAAGGAAGTTGAAAAACAACAGACTTACTGGCCGGATCACCAGGTAAAAAGTCTAAAAAAAAAAAAAAAAGGAAATTAATGTAGCCACCACATCTAACAATTGGTCAGCTGCAATATATATAAATTTTTGTTTTGGGGTTTATTGCTGCTTTCAGACTTATTTTATTTATTGATTGATTGATTTATTAAAGTGTATCTATAGCTAAATCCTTTTTCATAAGTTTTGGATAGCACATGGAAGGGTGGTACCTCTGTCTGGTTCACATCACTAAATGGATCTGAAATTGATGTGCCACAAGCTGCTTAAACCAGCTGCTGACAAACACTGTGCTTTATTACTTCAGTTGGTTAAAATGCCACATATATTGTATCCATAATCTGGTCCAGTCTGTATACATTGTGTTCTAAAATGTAAAGTGGAACTTCACTCTCTCAATCAACATTTATTATTTTTAATTCTTATGCTGCTAGCGTTAGATAGGAAAGCACTATATATCAAATTTACTTGTTTTAAACTTTTTTTTTTTTTTACTTTTCTTCAGTTACTTCCTGGTTCCCATGCCTAGACAAATGATTTCATACATCCCAGGAATCTTCAGATGGGAAGGAGGGGTTTTCTCAGCTATGCACATCCTCCTGCCTGCATGCCTGAACTAAGGGCAGATGGATTCCAGGAAGTAAATGATACCTGAATCATCTGCCCTTTCTTAATATGGCCACGGCCAAAAATGCATAAGGGTGTTTTTCAAAGTGATTTCTTATCAAAATAAAACATGGAGATTGCATGGAAGGGTGCGTTTGTCTTGAATGTGAAAAATTAAATAACGTTTTTTTGTTTGTGGTGCTCAGATACAGTGTAGTTACTTTAAGCTCTGTTGAAGGGGGTGCGTTCCCTCTTCAACACCAAAACATGGTGGCTCTTTAACATAGTCTTCTACCGGATTCTATATTAGAATAATTTTGTATCTGGACCAGGGGCGGACTGACCATTTATTATTATTATTATTATTATTATTATTATTATTATACAGGATTTATATAGCGCCAACGGTTTGCTCAGCACTTTACAATATAACAGGAGACAATACAGTAACGATACAGTTCAATACAAGAGGGAGTTGAGGGCCCTGCTCCTTGGAGCTTACAATCTAGGAGGGAGGGATGAGTGGTACAATAGATAAAACTGTGGGGGATGGAGTGGTTGGAAGCGTAGAGGATACCAGTATTAGCAGAGGGTGGGATAGGCTTCCCTGAAGAGAGAGGTTTTCAATGAACGCCTAAAGTTAAGTAGAGTAGGTGATAGTCTGATAGATTGGGGTAGGGATTTCCAGAGGATGGGTGACCCCCTGGAGAAGTCTTGGAGACTAGCATGGTAGGAGGAGATAAGGGAGCTAGAGAGTAGGAGGTCTTGCGAGGAGCAGAGTGTACGGTTTGGGTGATATTTAGAGATAAGATCGGATATGTAAATTGGGGCAGTGTTGTGGATGGCTTTATATGTTATTGTTAGTGTTTTGAATTTTATCCGTTGGGCAATGGGAAGCCAGTGGAGGGATTGGCAGAGAGGGGTGGCAGATACAGAACGGTTAGTAAGGTGGATAAGCCTGGCAGCAGCATTCATGATAGACTGGAGTGGGGATAGCCTGCGATGAGGTAGGCCAATGAGGAGGGAGTTACAATAGTGAAGGCAAGATAAAACAAGGGAGTGAATAAGTTGCTTAGTGGTTTCCGATGTTCTTGGAGATATTGCGGAGGTGAAGTCTACATGATTTTGTCAGTGATTGGATCTGGGACTGGAATGACAGATGGGAGTCTAGGATTACACCTAGTACCCTGGCATGGGGGGGATGGACTGATGATTGTGTTACCGATATTTATGGTGAGGTCAGTGGAGGTGGCACAGGCATTTAGCCACTCGGGCACTGCCTGAGGGCTCAGGGTCAGTAGGGGGCCCCATGAGAGGCCCTGGTACCTTTCATAGGCTTTTTTTGGGTGTGTTTTGAGTGTGGGTGGGGACACAGGGGCCCCATGATTTCCTATTGCCGGGGGCTCCATCAGTTGTCAGTCCGCCCCTGATCTGGACTATGGTGTGGCATTTCAGTCTTAGATCCATTTAGTTGCATCACAAACCAAGGAAACTGTGGAGAACCTTTTGGTGTGTAGAAGCCACCAACCCAGAATTCAGCACCCTGTTCCAATACCACTTCAACACTAGTGGATATAAATACCAACTGGAAAATCCTAGGCTTTCAGTCCTACTCATCTGTTCCCCCAGAATTATATTCCTATACCTGCTGGAGAGATACACCCTCCACCCTGTTGATCCTGGTGACCATTGTCATCCAGACAGAAAGTGATGAGAATTTTCAAGTGCTGGGAACTCGTTTTTGTTTTAGGAAACATTTATACTTGCTGCCGGGGGGGGTGGCAAAAATAGGCGACCAATGAGGAGATAACATATTGCCTCTCAGCCATCTGTCAACTGTCCTCTATAAAGTGATCCACTGTGGATAGCTTTACCGAGTGTCATTGAATACCACCGCAAGTGTAAATGAGTCCTAACTCTCCTGTATCTGTTTCCTACCCCATCCTTGTCAATGTATTTACACCATGTCACATTGAATTTTACACTGTTTTTCGCCATGAATGATCTTGATTGGAATGGCTTATACAGTGAAATGTCACAGGTTCACATGTACACAATGCTAGGCTTTGTTGCTTATGTTTTATAATGTCATTTTACTTGCATGCATGCATGATGCAAACACTACACATCCAGTTTAAAGCTGGATTTCAGGCAAATGGCTAAATACAAAAAATAAAAAAAAAATTGAATAAGGAAACCGTTTAACCTGCCAAAGAGCTTGTATTCTTGTTTTCTGCTGCAGGGAGAAGTTCCACTTTAAGGCCTCATCCCCCGCTCCCCGTTAAGGATTGGCACATTTGATGAGCGGGTACCTGTCAAAATTGGGTACCTGCTCCCCAAATGTTCCAATCCTTAATGGGGAGCGGGGGATGAGGCTTTAAAGCAGAACTTCCCCCTGCAGCAGAAAACAAGAATACAAGCTCTTTTGCAGGTTAAACTGTTTCCTTATTTCATTTTTTAAATTTTTTTTTTAATTTCATTTTCCCAGTTAAGGATTGGCACATTTGGGGAGCGGGTACCCAATTTTGACAGGTACCCGCTCCCACTTCCATCTAGGCCAGGGGTCTGCAACCTTTAAGACATAAAGAGCCACTTGGACCCGTTTCCGAAGGGAAAAAAAAGACTGGGAGCCGCAAAACCATTGCAACATTTAAAACAAATCCAACACTGCATATATTGTTTCTTACCTTAATGCTATATACAGGATCGTGCAGTTAGCTGTCAATCTGAAGAAAAAAATAACTTTTCCACTTAACAATGTAAAATATATTTTTGCACATTAATAGCTAATTAAAATATTTAATTTATCTGGTTAATGGGATTTATTCTCCTGAACCTCAGTGCACAGTGTCTGCATATCAGGGCTGTAAGACGTCACCTTCATTTTCACACAGGCTTGCAAGCTGTCATCTGTGAGGCGTGATCGATGTTTGTTTTTAATATAGTTCATGTTGGAGAAGACCTGCTCACATACATATGTGGAGCCGAAGATCGACAGCACTCCAAATGCATACTTTTTCATGTTTATATAAGTGTTGGGGATAGCATTCCAGGTTTCGAATACAAGTTTGTCCTGTTTGGGAAGGTTTTTAATATCACTCCATTTATGATTCTGTGCCAGAATGGCCTTCTGCCGGGCAACATCCTCAAGAGTAGCGGTCAAGCATTTAAACTTGGACACCCATATATCTTTGTCGGCTATATCGGCCAATTCCAACTCAAGATCAGGTTGACTTACACCTGCAAATGCAGTCATATTCAATAGGGATGGATCGATCGCCAGGGGAATGACAGGGAAGGATAATGTGGTTTTTTTCCTCTCTGAACTCACAGAATCGTTTCCCAAACGAACTTTGCATTGTGGTGATTGCAGACTTGAAATATTCCAAATTGATTGTATCATGACTTTGTTTGAACTCTCTCAAAGAGGGAAAGTGAGACAGTGTACCTCTCTGTAAATCTTTGATAAACACTGTCAACTTGCGCTCAAAAGCCAAAACCTCTTCCAGCATGTGCAGAGCTGTGCCTCCTTTCCCCTGAAGGGTTGTATTTAGCGTGTTTAGATGTGCTGTCATGTCTACCATAAAATGTAATTTTTCCAGCCACTCTGGCTGTTCCAGCTCAGCAAAGGTGAGCTCTTTGCTGGCCAGGAAGGTTTTTACTTCTTCTAAACATGTGACAAAGCGTTTTAGCACCTCGCCTCTGGACAGCCACCGAACCTTGTTGTGGAGCAGGAGGTCAGAATATATGCTTTCCACTTCATCCAATAACAAACGGAACTGGCGGTGGTTTAAACCCTTTGCCATTATCTTATTAACAATTTGAATGACCACATCCATCACTTTTGTGCATTCTGGCGGAAATGTTTGAGCACATAATGCCTCTTGGTGCAGGATG